AAATCCAACGATTGAAGGAGATGAAGAGAAGAGGAGCCTGTATTCCCTTTGAAAGAACAGATACCAAAGACATGCAACCAATGGAGAGAATCCAGTAGTAGTGAAGCTCTGCAGATAAGCTATGGAGACTGAAGGAGATTCCAGCAGTCGCTATCATGAAGACCTGAAGCCTGAGTCTGAGAATAGAGGAGTAGAACAGAGCTCCCCCATTCTGAAGACGAACTCCTCCAGGTACCTGTACACTCCCCCACCTTGAATGCATGTGCATCTGAATGCCTGTATCTGATCAATGCCTACGCTTCTGAATGCCTGTATCTGTTCCATGGATGATGATAATACTGCTATATCCGTAGTTAAAAATGCAGAAATTCTCCAGATATGAAAAGATCCCAATCCCCTAAATGAAAATGAGTAATCCATATGTATATCATAAAAACATTAGACGCTTCCTTAGAACCTGTATTTGTCTAGAATCCGGCAATATAAGCCGCTTGGTTGTCATTGGGAAACCATCTGCAACAGTATAGGTTAGAGAATAACCATCAATCACTCCTTTGTTGGCCAAGGAGTCTGCAACGGCATTACCTTCTCTAAAAATATGCTTGATTTGGAATGAAAAACTCTGAAGAAGGGAAAATATCTTGTCCAATAGATCCCAGAGATGCCATGAAGCTTGGCTCCTTTTAATACCATATCCATCAACACCTTTGAATCTGTCTCAATGACTAGTGGGTAATCTGTCAAACCGTTGTCCTGTATCAAACACAGACCATCCCATAACGCCCTTATCTCTGCTTCCATATTTGTACAGAAGCCATAGTAGTAAGAACCTGCAAGGACTAGCTGACCTCTAGAATTCCTGAGTATCACACCTCCACCTGATAGACCTGGGTTACCTTTAGAGGCCCCATCAATGTTGAGCTTTAAAAAACCTTCAACTGGATATTCCCAAGCAATCCACCAAGTCTTGATTTGAGCTCTCTTAGAGATAATCACATTTAGGCTGTTTAGCATATCCATTTCCTGAATAGTATCCAATGCCTTTGGCCTAATGATAAATGTCTGCAGTCTTAAAAAATGCATAACTATTTTAGATAGGGAAGTAGAATAGGATTTCTGGCCTTCAAATAACCTTCTACACCTTTCCTTCCAAAGCTGCCAATAGATCAATAAAGGCAGGCCTCTAACTAAAAAATGACTAACTGAAGGATGTCTATATATTCTAACAAACCTCATAAATCTACCAAGAGGCTCCTCCTGTGCAATTAATGAAATTCCAAATTTTGCTGAGATGCCCTCCCACACTGCCTGTGCATACTTGCATTGGACAAAGATATGGGAAGGCGACTCACAAGCCTTATAACAAAAGACGCATCTACTAGCTAGTGAGACCCCTATTGTTTGAAATAGAGAGTCCATAGGCAATGCTTTCTGCATTATTTTCCAACCAATCAACTGTGCACTTGGAGGCACTTTCTGTTTCCAAATTGCAGCCGCTTGATTATTAAAATGTCCCTCTGATCTTATACTATTCCAGGCAGACTTAAGAGTAAACTTTCCATCTGAAGAATGTTGCCAAATAATCCTATCTTCCATTGTTCATTATTCCAACTGCACATTAATAATCTCCTGCAACAGTTGATCATCCATCAATTGATAAACCTCTCCCAATTCCCAACGACCTTCTACAAACAACTGAGAAAGTTTTGGAAAGACAGTAGGCATCATTGAGTTCCTAAGAATCAGTGGACCCTCTCCAGTCCAGTTTATCACACCAAAAATCCACAGAACGACCAGAACCCACCAAAACCAATGAATTACAAGAGACCAGATCAAACAATGAGGCCAAATCCCTATAACTCTTGGGATGGTTTTGTGCTGAGCTAGTGAGCATATGCTGGTTTTTCAAACCTCCCCACATTTAAAGAAAAAATTGGCTGCATCAAGTAAGTCAACATTAATAATATGCAAAGCAGACTGAAAAAACTGACCTGAATACCCATCTGGACCAGGAGCACTGTAGACAGACATAGAGAAAACAGTCTTCTTCAGTTCTTCAATGGTGACAGGAGAGGTGAGCATACAATTATCCTCATCATTGACTAGTTTAGGTATGAAAGAAAACAACTCCCCATCCAAGTTATGTATTTCAGAAGTGTAAAAATTAGTGTAAAATTCCACTGCACAATCTGCTATTCCTTGTTCATCTTCCAACCATTGCCCTCCTGCATTCTTTATTCTTGAAATTTTATTCCTAGTAACTCTACTTTTAGCTAAAGCATGGAATAATTTAGTGTTTCTCTCCCCTTCCACTGTCCACCTCACATTTGCCCTTTGCCTCCAAAATATTTCTTCAATCTTTAAATCAGTATCCAGTTCAGCCCTAACATTCGGTATATCCTGACCATTTGAACCATCCCTGTCAAAATTCTCTTCAACTTGGGCCAACTTCTTTTCTAATCTTTTAATGTTTTCAAAGGCATTTCCAAAAGTTTCCTTATTCCATTTCCTCTGCTGCACCTTTAAATACTTGAGTTTCAAAATGAAATTCTCAATGGGGTTTGGAGCAGGATTATGGTCAATATCTAGTGTCTATAAATAAGTTTTTACTTCAAAATTAAGCTCGATTTTACTTGGTGAGCTTAAATGCTTGCAAGCATTTGTCAAGGTGATCTTGAACAATGATTTAAGCCTGGCATTTGAGCTCAAACTGGGTGATTTACAATTGAGTCGAGCCGGATTCGTGTTGTGTATAAGTCGTGTCTATTAAAGATGTGATAAGAGTATAAGAAATCCATCAATATCTTGATTGAGATACAATAGGATCTAAATGGACTACCAATATTTAAGTTATTTGGATAAATATAGATGAAGATAAACATGTATGATAATTATTTTTATCATAAGCAATCTTTATCCTATAAATAGGGTTGCACCCTATATAATAAATAACTAAAAAATAATACATAAGATGGAGCCTTTGTGGCGCTTGGTCTATAGAACTAGGCACAATGTGTCGTGCCACTTAATCTTTTGGGCTTGTTTGGATAGATTTATAGAGAGGGTTTAGATTGACTTTGATAAACCCATTCAAACTCAAATTCTTCTTTACGAAGATGAAATTTAATATTAAATCTAATTTATATTCATGTTTAGTATGTAACACATACATGTATAGGTCTTACAAATATATTATAATTATTAACAATTATTTATTATGTAAATAACTATTTTGTCCTTTAATCAATTAAATTCATACTCATATTAAGTGTACAATTGTCTTTTGTACCCTTAACTTTTTAACCTATCTTCCCTAACCCATCATTTCTTTAAATTTGACGAAATTCATGATCATAGGTTTAATAACATGCCAATTACGGGCTGAATTTAAAAACTTAGGATTGAATTTGTAATTTAAAAATAGGGTTTGAGTGTCTCTTGGACTATTTTTTCTATATTCATCTTGTCAAGTCTCCTATACTCCCTTACAAAACAGTCCTTTGTGTTTCGAATATTGTCTCAAGTCGATAAAAATATAATTATAAAAATTAAAGACGTGAAAACTGTTGATTTAAAGAAGAGAAATTCTTAGAGTGACAAAAAAGGCATAATAAGAAATAAAGTAGACCGAACAGGTGGGTGAACTATCTTCTTTTCTTTTCTTGGAGTTTGCAAAAAGCCAGAGAGAAGGAGAAAGAGACCCCACTCGAGTTCATGAGCTTTTGATTTGGACACGCGATTCCATATATGCTTCAACATTAATACGTGAAATGTTATTAAGAATTAATTTATTAATTTAATTTGTTGATCTAATTTATTATAATTTTTTAATTGATTGTAGACCCTATTAAACATTAAAACTTGATGTTTATCAAATGGTTTCAATGAAGTTACGTCATTAGGCTAACAAATTATGTCCAAATTTTAGGTCTAAATAATATTTTCTTTAATATAAACAAATCCAACAATGCTAATCAGTTTTTTCCTAAATAATTTTTCACTACCATAATAAATACTTATTTTTTGATGACAGAGTTAATATAATATAAATATGAGGTCACAATTCAAACTACTTAAAGTTATAACAAAATAAAATTACTTATTTTTATATTTAAAAACTGATTCTATTTTTTTTTTTGGTTGGAATTCAGCCCATTGTTTATATTTTATACTTATAACTTAATCTTATTTAATTATAAATTTCTCTATACGACATCCTTGGGTACCAGTATAGTTTGCCCAAATTGATAAATTGTAAAGTTGTAATGGATAAGACTTCTCTACATGAAAGGACAAGACAACTAATTAAATCAAAGAAAATATTATTTTTATTTTAAAAATTGACATGATTTATTAGATCGAATAAAAAATTTAGTGTTAAATTAAATAAATAATATTAATTTGGTTAAATTAAATATTAATTTTTTGTTGATTTGATGAGATTGAATGTTAATTTAGTTTAAATTAAAGAAAGGAAATCAATTTGAAAAGATTAAATATTAAATTGATGAATCTGAAGGCTAATATAATAGAACTAAAAAGGAGTGCAATAAAATTTTAAAATTAAGAAAGAGTGTTATTAAAGTTAAGTCTATTTACAAGGGATATAGATGAAATTTATTTTATAAAATGCTAAAAGGATATTTTTGTAAAATAATGTTCATCGTTAACGCCATAAGCACACAATCATTGACAAAAGGTGTCTGTAAAATTTTAAAAACAGAAGAGAATATCGTTGAATTTAAACCTAAATGCAACAGGTGTGGATAAAACTTTCCCAAACTCTCAACGTAACGTCATAACAAGGATTTCACACTTGGCTGTCCACCATATCCTTTTAAAATAGCAAAAAACATATAAGCATTGTCATTGCAGCCTTCAATCCATGATAAAAAGAGGGACTTGACTTAGGCATCGAATTAAAAATTTTGATAACTTACTTTCAAAATTTATTATTTTTGTGGATATTATTATAATTTTTGTGTAAATATTTTTATAACAAATAAAATTATCATTTTTGTGGATATTATTATAATTTTTGTGTAAATATTTTTATAACAAATAAAATTATCATTTTTGTGGATATTTTTATTACTATTATGACAACTATTTTTATCATTTTTCTTCGATATAAAAAAAATTATCATTTTTGTGGGTGATTTATTATTTTTGTGAGTATTTTTATCATTGTTGTTATTACTTTTGTGAATGATTTACTTTTTTAGAGGTATTTTTATCACTTTTGTAATAATTATTTTTCTTATTTTTCTTTGGTACAAAAAAGCGATAAAAACATCACAAAAATACTTATAAAAGTTCCTACT